CCCAAGTCTGCGGAGGCAGAACGCACACGGACCCCAGTCTGCGGAGGGAGAACGCACACGGACCCCAGTCTGCGGAGGCAGAACGCACACGGACCCCAGTCTGCGGAGGGAGAACGCACACGGACCCAAGTCTGCGGAGGCAGAACGCACACGGACCCCAGTCTGCGGAGGGAGAGCTCCAAAGTTCCAAGTCACCATCTAAGCACCACAATCAGTAGTAAAAGGACTGTTTCCATGAACATTACATTCATCTCGCACAGGCTTTTATCTGAAAAAGTCTACAATTGAAAAGCCAGGCTCAGGCACGATTTTTTGACAAAATCACTCTGCTAATTCTATCACACATAAGGTGTGAAGCTGCTGATCTACACAGCGGATGATGAAATGTGGTACAAACTCAGCATCCATGAGTGAAACACTGTGATAACAGCCGAATCCCCCACCGCGCTGCTCTTTAGGTCATTAGTCAGATTACAGACACCTAAGGATGTATTAACTGGATCTCCTGGTGACAAACTGGCAGGGTAATGGGGGGGGGGGGCGGGCGGTTGTACCCAATATCAGCCCTGCATTGCCTGCATGTTAATACAGGGGGATGGAACACCGTCAGTGGCTGAGACTGCATCACAATAAGGCCATACAGAGGGTTGTGGGATCCGACCAGAACATTATAGGGACCAAACTGACATCCCTTTATCAGCTATGGGATGCAAAGCACCCTGGACACAAGCTGTTTGTACTCCTAGTGTTGGAGAGGAGGCTTCGCAGCATCAGCATGAGGATCCTGGACCGGGGCAGGAGTTCTAGCTGCCCCACACCGACCTCGCCATCTGCTGTTTGGTCTGGGCCAAAGCAACAGCATGTCATTATTTAAAGACACTCTTTGTAATAGATCTGGATGAACTGGCATTTCAATACATTTGTTACATGTTTTCAATAGAAGTTACAGAATGTTTCACATGCACTGGGATTTTGTTGAAGCTGACATTGATCGTAAATGATTCAGAAGTTTCAGACCAAGCCGTCAAAGTTACTGGAAAAAATGGTTATTTTATTAAAATACCCTGAACTTGATAGCAAGAAGAAGGAATGGTATGTCTATAAGCCTCTTCATATGTCGTAGGGTAACCGTCAAACAGCAGGGGGCAGCAGTAAACGAAATATATAGTGGCTCCACTTCCCTCGGCTGATTACGACGTTAACTGATGAGCATCGTGCACATGCTGGATGTGCTGGGAGCCCGTAAAGGCATGAGGCAGCAGATACTGGACGCTGCAGTGGGTTTTAGGCATATAAGCTGGCCTGGGAGCTCCGTCTCCTCCCTGCAGGTAGCCCTAAGCGTCGCTTCTGGCTCGATTCGGCGCAGAAGTATCCATCATCCTTCAGTCTCAATGAAGGGGGCTTTTGCGGAAAGAGAAGAGAGACGTTAGTGTTGGAGGAGAAATACGGAGGCTGTGCTCTGCTTGTAGAGTCCGAGTCTCCAGACCTCATGCAGGCTGTGAGTGAGACAATAAGCAGAGAATAGAGTGTAAGGCGGACTTTGGTTAACATTGTCTGAAAGCCTTTTATCTATGTCCTCAATTAACTCATTTTAAAAACATTTTTATTTGTCTTACGAATATACCCAAAAGCAGTAATAAGCAGAAACACGTTTTATTATTTAAGGAATAATATAGTATTTTTAAATATAGGCCCCTTGCTAATACTTTAAAGGCACAGACCTTAAGTAAATAAAACCTAGATATACCTAGAATTTATTTGAGGAGTTGAAGAACATGCACATGTTGTTTGTTATGGACAGGAAAAACACTTCTGGCTTAAATATAATACTGTGCTTTATTTTTTGATGACTGTAATTTTTGGTAGATAACACTGTATGGCATGTTACAGTACCCCATTTTGACACACACAGAAACATTTACAGATATAGAAAATAAGACAAGTGCTTGTTGTATGTGCAACATCAAGTAATACTGTTTATACAACTAAACAAAATACAAACAAATTACACAAAAGTCACACGAAAGTCGACCCAAAAGAAATGCTTGGCGTTGTCCCGTCAAAGACAAGGTCTGCTGTTTCACACGCGGGACAGGAATTACCTCCCAACACATATGGCTGTTGAATTCCTTCTTTGGTTTATAGAGTCACAGTTGGGCAAATACCGTACCGTGCCTAGGAACCGTTCAAATAACAGTTACAAAAAGTCATACTGTATTACAATAAGCAGCAAGTACAAAACTTACAAAAGGTCTGGTACGAAAGTGCAAAATAGTCGATAGTCTGGTGAGTCGGGGAGTCGGGGGAGTGAGTGCGAGCAGCGACCTGCTCGGCGTGTGTGCAGGAGCTTCGCGGCCTTCAGGTCGGCTGATAAATACTGAATAATAATCTAAACAAGATGGTGCCCACTGGTGTAACGCACGGCAGAAAGGGCTCCTTCACTTCGGTTAGAATGTGCCCTGCATCTCTCAGCCTTAAGGAAAGATTAACCAGAAAAAAAATAAACAAGGCTAATGTAGTGACAACGTTACAAAACACGCAATGTACCTAAGATGCACAGATCAGGCATGAGACGGTGTTTGAAGCAATTAATGGCTGTCAATATGAGTTTTTTTTTACGAGCTTATTAATGTCGATTGTCCAGAATGAAAGGAAACCGCTTCATATCACGCTAATCAAACCTGATGTAAGAGCTCAATTACCTGTCAGAGACACTCTTTGGAATTACAGAGTTACATACTGTGACGGCAGACAGTGCCCACGTAATGGCGGCAGTATTAATATACGCCTATACATAAACCGATTGAAGCAAAAATCATTGCTTGTCGTCTTTGGTCTTTCAAACAGAGCATTAAAGAAAAAAAGGAAAGAATGATCAGCATTTCCGTGTCCTTCCTCCCCGCGGCCGTCAGAGGCAGATGTTGATCTGTTTGGCCAGCTCTCTCTCCAAATCAGAGATCAGAGTGTCAAAGTCCTTCAGACTCAGCCGGCAGGTGAAGGGAGCGTCCAGGTCCAGTGCCTCAGTCTCCAGGGAGAAGTTGTCCACATAGATGCCCCCTGGTGGGTCCCAGCTGGCCTTCTTTAAGGCCTCCTGCTCGCGCCTCCTCCTCTCCTCCTCCTCGTCCTCCTCACTGTCGCTCCCCGCCACCTCGTCGTAGTCGGCCTCGGCGCTTGTCAGGAAGTCCCCCCCGCAGATGCTCCAGTCGCCGGCGTACCTGTTGCAGGGGGGGCTCTCCAGGCGGCCCCGCCCTCGCCGGGACACCACCACCTCCTGCGGCAGTTCCAGGCGCAGAGGCAGGCGTGGGCCCCGCTGGCGTGGGGCATCCTGGGAGGCGGTGCGGGCAGCATGCGGCGGGGCCAGTCCAGACGTGGAGGGCTTGGAGGGAGGCTCATCCACGGCCCGGTCAACAGGGACTGAGGCAGGGAGACGAGGGAGAGGGTCAAAGGAGGAGGAAGCAGGGAATCATGGGACACAGCCTAGATGGACCAGGGGCTGCATAACACACACACACACACACACACACACACACATATATACACACTCACTGGGCCACAGCTGCAGCAGGTAGTGCAGGACCTCGATGTGTTTCTTGAAGTCCACGGCGCTGGTGATGTCCTCGCCGTGCGAATACCCCCGGCCCCCTCGCTGGGCGCTGGTGCCAGAGTGGCCCCCCGGGGCCCCGGGTCTCCAGGATTCCTGGCTGGGCGCAAGCAGTACGGGTCCGAAGCACACTGCCAAGTTCTGGCAGGTCATACGGTTGCTGTGGCTGTAGGAAGCGACCAGACTGAGATGGTCCAGGAGCAAGGTGAGCGTGGCCTGGGGGCACCAGAGCAGAGGGGTATCAGGGCAAAGAGGAGTGTCAAAGGGAGGAAGAGGAGTGCCAAAGAGGAGCATCAGAGTGAGGAAGAGGGGGCGTCAGAGAGGAGTGCCAGAATGAGGAAGATGGGTCAAATTGAGGAAGAGGAGCATCAGAATGAGGAACAGGAACATCAAAACATCAAAGGAGTGCATCAGAATGAGGAAAAGTTTAAAATGATTCAACCAGAAATCGTACCAGAAATCATGACCCAGTTACCATATCACTGCGTAGGAATATCGCCGGGCAGCTCGCGCTCCTATTTTCAGCGCAGTGATACGATGGTAGTGATACGATGGCTGTGTGGAGTTCGGTAGAAGAAAATAGTTCCTACGTTAAACTGCTCCCTACAAATTCTGTAGATTATCTTCAGTAACTGAGTCATGATTTCAGAGATGTTGTGGTTTAATGTATTTTTCTGGCTCTTTAATCACCAGAGAAAGAATGTCATTCGCTCCCATTAAATTCAAATGTCATTCACTCCCATTAAACTCAAATGTCATTCACTCCCATTATATTCAAATGTCATTCACTCCCATTATATTCGAGAGAAGCCTGACATTTCTATGGCCGATACAAGCAGCTCGAAGATAGATGGATGGATGGATGGATGGAATATTTCCATCTTTCTTGTGCAATGACTAGAAATTTTAACTGTCCCCCATCTGACAGCCCAATCTCCAGAGCAGGTAACCTTCTGTTCAAATTAACGAATCAAAACAGCAGTTAACAGAATTTTTAATAGGCATTGGCTGTAATAAAACACAAACGGCTGACAATGATTTATAGCTCTCTTGGGGGGGGGCATGGGGTTAAACTCCACAGCCTCAGGACAGAGGGAGGGCACACTAGTGAGCGCGAGGCCCCCAGTACCCCCACTACCCTCAGTGCACCCTGATCTCCAACAGGACTGGGATGGAAAAAATATTTCAAATAAATAAATAAATCTGACATATTTGAGGCTAGAGCCACATCTGGCAGCTGTGAGACTGTTGTCAATAATTTTCCGTTAATATTTGACTCAGCGACTGAATGCGGTTACTGTCAAATAAACGGCAAAAGTGGGAGGGAGCGAGGGAATGAGAACGAGGGCCAGAAAGGAAGAAGAGAGGGAAAAGAGAGAGAGAATGAGAGAGACCTTCTCTGGCTCCGGGAGACACTCCAGCAGAGCCACCGTGCTTTGGGGCTGCTGCGGGTCCACATGCGTCCTGAAGGGGGCGCCACGGGGCGGCCGCAGAGACATGGCCTCCAGCACCACGTCGTAGAGCGTGCGCGTGATGAGCGGTGAGGGCAGCTCGCGAAGGTAGTCCTTCAGAATGCCTGGGGGAGGGGGCAGTGAGCGGGGAAGGTCACAGCACCGGGAGTGACACTGGCCCCCGCAGTCAGAGAATATTCTAACAAACACAGTCAGCTACCGAAGATGCGTGGAACATAACATCCATTCCACTAGATTGTAAACATACAGGCCCAGGAAGAATAATCATTTAACCCGTGTTTTATTTGGACGCCGTCTCCATGGTAACGACCGGCGTCGCTGACGGGAATGCGGGCGCTAGCTTTCCCGCTAACGCTAACACGGCCGTGCTGCCAAGGTGCCCCACGGAGCCGGCGGCCGGCCGCCTATGTCAGACGGTAAGCAGATGCAGGCAGCAAGAGCCTCTGGAGACCAGAAGCTTCCGTAACTGCCTTGGAATGCCAGGCTGGAAAATTACACTCCATCTCCACAAAGTTAAGCGCTTCTGTTTTAAAGTAAAAAAAAACACTAATTAAAGCACCAAAGCTGGGTGTTTGCTGTCAGCTTTCCTTTGCATTTCAGTTTCACTGGGGAGGGTGGGCATCCGGGGTGGGGCACAGTCAGGTGACCAGCACATTCATTGGCTTCCCCCTCCTATGCCCCTTGTGCTAAAGTCCTCCCCAGACAAATGATACATGCTTCTGGGTCGTACCATATCGCAGGGGGGTGGGCTGGCCTGTCCCGCCCCCGATTAGCAGGAAGGCGGCGAGTGCAGACTGACCGGTGATGACGTTGATGTCCGGGTAGAGCTCCTCGTTCAGAGTGACCGTGGCACTGTCCCGCTCAAACGCGTCCCTCAGCTCCTTCTTCACGGCCGCCGAACCGCAGAGACGATACAGGCCCACCACCTGGGGGCGCCAGAGGTCAGCGATGAGCACGCATAGGTACACCGTCACCAATAGAGGGACACTGTCCCAAGCCCCACACAGCCACCTTCAGTCCCCTCTTTTCAATCTCCGCCACGCTCTTCTGGATCAACAGGGGAACTTTGAGCGCAGTGCCCTCCTTCTCCACCAGGTGGCGCAGCTCCACACCAAACACGCTGGCTGGCTGGAGGTCGCTGGGTCGTGGGGGGGCTGGCTCCCATTGCTCCAGGAGGGTCAGCTTCACATAGAGGAGGCCCCGCGGGTCCAGCTTCACACACAGCTGCTGTGAGCGTGAGCCTGCTGGGGGGGGGGAAAGATTACCAAGTGGTCACTGGAGTTTCAGTCTAATCCTGGTCTAACCCCCTCCCCCATGAAAGAAACCACAGCTGAACGCTGAGATGCCAAATTGACTAAACTTGGGAAACAATTAGTTCAGACTGAGTGCTTGGAACATGCCGGAAAGCCGGGAGAGAGCCGTCTGAGGTCCACCCACGCGGCTCTGCGAGTCAGACTGAACACCAGCCACTCCCCAAGCAGCTCGTAGAACTAAAAATACGAGTGTGTGATGTAATGAGGTGCGTTTAACGCACCGTGTACAGAAACGCCCCGCCCACTCTCTGAAAAGGCCTCTGTTTGTTCACCAGGGGAATGATGGCCTCACACACGCCACCTCTAGGAATCGCTGCGTTACTGCAGTCATCTGTTGAACAATCCAGCTGAAGCTCTGATCCAATCAGCTTGCAGTGATGGGTGTAGGCCCCTCCTGCACAACCCCACCCCCACACACTGCCACGATTCGTCCAGCTTCACAGCCAATAGGTCTCCACGTCACCATAACCCTGTAAAAAACATTGGTACTGCCTGCTTCTCCTTACACACACACACACACACACACACACACACACACACACACAGGCACACGGCGCCCCCTGGAGGCCAGTGCAACTGGTTTTCTCTCTCCTCTGCCGCCTTGCAGTTTCCTCACAACTCTGGGCTAAAGTTGGGTTTAACCAAGGCACCATGAAGCTGAAATGAACGGCTCACCTCTGAAGAGTGGGGGGATAGCCACGGCCCCCAGGCAGCAGACTCGGTTGCGGGCTGGGGTGGCGGGGGCCTGGGGGGTGCTGGCGGGGGGGGAGCTGGGCTGTGGGGCCAGGATGACTAGCTTGAGCAGCCGCGCGCGCTCCAGCTCCAGGTTGAAGGTGTGATTGAGCGGGAGGGCGGCCCCACGGCACACGAGCAGCGCCGTGCGAGCCCGGGTCACGCCGTCCACCTGGATGGCGCAGAACACCTCGCGGGCCACATCCGGCCGGGCCGAGCGGAACAGCTGGTCGGCGCCAAGCAGGTGCACTGTGAGCAGCCCGGACACCCGCTGGGCGCAGCGCGGCTGCTCCGACAACCGGTACGGCTGGAAGGAACCGGGGTCTAGCCCCGCCTCCCCAGGGGGCGGGGATGTGCTCTGGGGTGAGGGTGGGGCCCCCTGCTTGGGCAGGAGCTCGGGGGAGTCGCCGTCGCTCAGGTAGCCGACCTTGCCGGAAGAGCGCCCTCTAGAGGAACAGCGCTGCGGCCGTGCTGGGGCACTGGTGTCCAGGTGATAGCGGCTGATGACGTTGCTGGAGGCCTCCTTGCGAGCGTCGGGCGGGGAGCTGCCCCCAGCCCCGGCCCCGCCCCCAGCCCCGCCCCCAGCCCCGCCCTGTCCCTGGCCATGCCGCTGTGAGCGCGAGGAGCGCAGGCTCAGCTTCCGCCGCAGTTCTGGCAGCTTGCGCATCTTCAGGGACAGACGCCGCACCGTGCCGGGGGACTTGATCCTGTCCATGACGCTGCTGCCCCCGCCCCCCTTCTTCTGGGCCCCTGGGCTGTCCGAGAGTCCCTGCGCGGTGCAGACACCCCCGGCCGCGGCCCCCGGCACCTGGGCCTCCGGCTGGGCCAGATCTGAGGGGGAAAAAATGACAAAAAACAAAGGATGAAGACGGAGGGTCATTATGTGCAATTAATGGCGAGAAAGAGCAGCCCCACAACGGACGGACTCGCGAGCGGACGTCTGCACAGCCGAAACCTGTGTTTGATCATGACTCCGGGGATATTTATAGAGAGAGCTGCACTTGCAGGGGTGTATATCCAAAACTGGCAGGAGGCGCTAAAAAAGTCCAGCCAGGTTTACCTTTTAAAGCCCTTTTTAAACGAATACCGGAATAGTGAATGAGTGAAGAGCGAAGCGGACACCAGCTGCAGTGCGTGTGTCAGAGTGCGAAGTACAAAGATAGGAAAGGTCCAGGTTACCATAGCGATGACCGAGTGGGACCCTTGGGAAGCGAGTTTCTGCAGTAACATACCCAGGAGTGATGGTTAACTCAACAGAAGGTTGGTTTCGTGAAAGTTTTAAAACTTTAAAACAGTTTAACAATTAGGACATAGACTGATATAAAAATCAACATTCTAAAGCTGTTGTTTAGTCCTTTCTGGACGCCGCAAGGTGAGGACACCCTCCATTCAGGTCTCTCAACAGGACATATCCACTACCACAAAGCTACAGCAAAAACTGCAATTCAGAGACACCTTGTGTGCGGCTTAAAGGACGACCAGTGCAGCGACGTCGGAGAGCTTGAGTGTGGCTCTGGGAGCAAAGAACTGGAGCAGCGGTGGGGGGCGGGGGGTGTGGGTGCCAGACCCTTACGTAGACGAGCTTGAATCTAAATAAATGGGGCCTTCTTTAGGCAGAAAAGCAGCCTGTTCTCTGAGGCCTGGCTGCCCCATAAGTGCGCAAATGAGCGGGGCGTCTGGAGGGAAGGCTGCTTGCGGACGGATGTCTGTGGTCGGCAGCAGCGATTATTTGAAGGGGACAGTGGCTTGCGATCGGCCGTCCACGCGCCCCCGGCCTCCCCAGGGAAGAGAACTGATTTACGCCATAGGAATTCCTTGGCAGGCGGAGCTTTCCGCTGCTGACGGTGCGCGACGGCGACAGCCACATCTGCCAGCTAATAGCCCAGCGATTTATTTTCCACAGCCTGACAGCTGGAGGGCCTGAAACACGGCCGGCTGGGAGGGGATGCCAGGTGAGCCTCATCGCCGGCCCGCCCCTCGCCAGAAATGCTGAGGCCACTGTGGAACTCGCTATAAAACCACACTCCCCACCGCCCCATGGATTTTGTGTTTTCTCTGGACACTGAGACGTTCTTTGAGTTCCTCTCAAGAACCACAATGGGGAACAAAATCGGAACCGTTGGAACACGGCAGCGAGCCATCGGCTCAGAGAGCGAAGGTGTCCCGAGGAAACGCTCAGAACATTCCGTCGGGCGTCACGTTTTGCGAAATTCACCTCCTGAAGCATGATTTCGTTTGCAGAGAGACCCGCAGGAGGTTGACGTTTGTTCGATTTTGTGCCGCGTCACCAGCGCCACGACCAAACACGAGTGCGCCACATGTTGGGGTCCGAAGCTGGGATGCGACTGAGAACAACAGCGCAGGAGGCCAACAGCAGCACAGCCGACGCTACTGCTGGGAACCAGGCTTTGAACACGACAAACGCAAAGGCGGCAGTATCTGCACTGGGACGTCTTCACTGACATCAGATCTGCCTTCAGGTGAAGCAGAAGCCCACCAGCATCCTCGTGGTCACGAGGATTTCATCTCAGCAGCTTGGGGTCCTACTTTCATGTTACTGCATACTGCATGGTAATGTACATCACCTGTAAGTTACTGTTGACTATTTTTTGGTTTATTGTTCCTGATTATTAGATGTTGTTTATGTTTGCAGGGGCGACTCTAGCATTTCACCCGTAGGGAAGCTAAACCCTGTGCTTACATTTGGGTACAAAATGTATCAAAATGTATCAAAATGTATATGCTACTAACTGCTAAATGGTTTTAGAAAAATTCTTTTTCAGGGGGGCTAAGAAAAAAAAAGAGTGGGGTCTGAAGCCCCCCAGTCAGGCCTCAAGCCGCCCAGGATGTCATGGTACCAAGCTGCGGAACCCGTACCTGGGATCTCCCTCCTGCCTGCTGAGGCCGTTTCCACGGCGATGTCCTTGGAGGGGGGGTTCCCAGGGCTCCCCTGTGTGCCACTGCTGCCCCGCCTCTCCGCTGGGAGGCCGCAGTCCCCGGCCTGGACATCCCTCTGGTTCTCCCATGATGCCTCAGTGTCCCTCCTCTTCCAGGGGTCTCCGTAGTCGACTCTGTCCGTTCCTCCTCCAAAACCTCGCAAGTCCTCCTCTTCCGGGATGGGGTTGTACCAAATGTTGCTCTCCCCATCCACCCCTCGCCTCCACTCCGTCAGGCGGCTGGGGAGGGAGAAAGACACCTCCTCCGCCACGTGGGGCTTGCCGCTGGAGAGCACCCAGGCACGGCTGCTGCGTTCCAGGCTCTGGAGGTAGGCCCCCTGGCCAGAGACCTTTACAACGCTGGAGGAAACACAAGCCCCCACTGACCGGGTGAGCTCTGGAAGGCCTGCATTGTAGGTCTGACAGGAAGTCCCACAGATCCCAAGCTCCCTCTCAAAATGTCTGCTTTCCAGGCCATCCTCCACTAGGGTCTTCTGGCTCCAGGCCTGTTGTGAGACCTGGGCTTTTCCTGAGCTGTTCTCCCAGTCCTGGGCTCTGGGTGCTGGGCTGTGAGGTCCCTCTGAGCTAGGGGGGTCCCACGACAGGGAGGGAAGCTTGGCCCAGTTCTGTTTCTTGGCCACGGTTATCTGGGTCCCCCGTCTGACAGAGTCTTGCACCAGCTGAGATGGGGGGGCCTCGACCTCTGCCGGGGGTGATGACACGTTGTTGTTCCCCGGGATGTCTGGGAAGGCAAACGACGGATGTTATTTCTATTGTTAAGATCACAACTGCTGCCATCTCCATTTTTCCTGTTTTTGAGGTTTGCAAGAAATAAATAAATGCACTAATGCATAATAGTAACTGTGCCCGTGGGTAATTATTTGCTGCAATTAACCAATGAAAATAAGCACAATGAGTATCTCATTTAATCTTGATATAGCTAAGCATGGGCCTATTAAACTTAAAACTCCGCAGCCTCAGGCTTTGAAACAGAGGAGAATTGGATCCAAACTCTTGTATAACCAGCCGGCAGCTTCAGTAAACCAAGGCCGCTTGTCGCCAGTTGCCCGCGCCGCTCCGATCCCCCTATGCTCTGATCCCCCTACGCTCCGATCCCCCTCCGCTCCGATCCCCCTCCGCTCCGCTCTGAGTAAGTGTGACCGATGGGTCGTGCTGCCTGCCCCCCGCTCCGCTCTGATCCCCCTCCGCTCCGATCCCCCTCCGCTCCGCTCTGAGTAAGTGTGACCGATGGGTCGTGCTGCCTGCCCCCCGCTCCGCTCTGACCCCGCAAGGCTCACGGCAGCGTTCGGTGCTGCCGAATGCCCCGGAAGGTTCAAGGTCATGCTGTTGCCACGGCAAGACAGAAACGAGAGACACAAGCATGGAAGGTAGCTGGAGAACAGCTATAGGAGTGATGAAGCGGTTAAGAGAAGATCAAGGCAGGAACGGTCAGACATCAGGCTGAGAGACTCGTTACAAGAATGGTGATGAATCTAGTTCAGGAATTAGTTACAGGAATGGTAATGTATCTAGTGGAGGGACTAGTTACAAGAATGGTTAACTGAAACTGTTTCTGAAGAGGTTTAGGGAAAGTTTTCTGGATCTCGTACAGATGAATTCCTTGACAGCAAATTCCTTCTGGCCGTGGAGGATAACCTGCTACTTACTACATGATTAGCACGATTGCTAATTGTCATTTTATTTTACTAGGTGTGGACAGACCGTATAATAAGCGATAATAAGCGATAACCCTCCCCAAGCTGCATGGGGTAAAGGTCACACACCTTTAATCACAGCCAGAAAGCTGTTAGCACAAATCCCCACACGGGATGCCATATGTTTCAGGCTAGTTAATGAAATGGTTCTGGAGATGTTTGGTCGTTTAGATGTAGGAAGTGATGAGACCATGGTGAGGTTTTCAGAGAGAGCCGTGAAGTGTGCTGGACCCCAGAACACAGAGACAAATGGACTGACTTGGGATTCATTCTGCAGCCCTGCTAGCCAGCACCATGGATCAACACAACCAAATACAGAGAGTTATTTTCTCGTCTGGCAAAAATCACACTGCATTTCACGGTGGCACTACAAAACTATGAACTTCATGGAGCTCGAGTTGCATTATTATTATATTTCAATTCATATGAGTGTTTAAAACAAATGAAGGCTTTATGTACAGAACAATAAAAAGCAAGGCCAGCTTGAGAAGAGTAACAGACTTTTTGAACTTTTGTACTCAAACTTCGGATCCTGCCTCGGAAATATTGTAAATAAAATGAGAACCATATTTGTCAACAAAAGCAAAAAGACAAGATTACAGGAAGAGTCAGGCTAGAAGGAGAGAGGAGAAGAGAGAAGCAGGAAGGCGAGGTGGGGGGCGCGGGGGAGGTGGCCGCTCTTCCCGTGACACTCTGCACATCTGGATGTCCTCCTCGTGTTCCTGCATGTGACTCGCGTGTCCCGATGCGAGCTGCATCCGGCCGGGGGCACGGCCTGAGTCACCACGCTGTGTCCCTGCCTGTCTGGCTGTTTGCCGGCCAATAGACAGCCTTCCACCCATCCATCCATCCATGGAGGCCTGTCTGCGCAAACACGTGTGTGGAAGCAGGAACATGGACAGTACTGTGCCCATGGCCCCGAGTGTGAGCGCCCCCTGCTGATCCCATGGCCCCGAGTGTGAGCGCCCCCTGCTGATCCCATGGTCCTGAGTGTGCGCGCCCGCTGTTGATCCCATGGCCCCGAGTGTGAGCGCCCCCTGCTGATCTTGCTGTTTGGGTCACCAGGATCCATGGCTACAAGCGACTGTAGACCCCACGATTTACCCCCCAAGCTGCATGGGGGGGGGGGCAATTTACTCGGCGCTGATGCACTATCTGGCCGTACAGAAACACAGGCAATGTCAGCCAGGCCAGAGCGGTCCCCGATGCTCATTAATCAGCATGGCCTGTGTAGCCTGCCCCCCCCCTGCGGATTCTCAGAATGCATTCCAAACTGAGAGGAAGAGGGGCTCATCCCGTGCTGGGGGGGGTTGGGGGGGGCAGATAGAGAAGGAACAAACAGCCTGATTCTGTGAGGGCTGTGCCTGGGTGGGGGGGCTGTCAATGAGCGGCCTGTCCTATAGCCCCCCCACAGCTGGAGGGGGGCAGCAAACGCGCGTGCACAGACACACACACACACACACACACACACACACCACCCCATTCACTATTCATCACAGCGCCCAAACAACATAACACAGACTTGTATCTTACAAATACTCAGTCTTAGTTCAAACTGCCCCTTCCACCTCGACACACCTGTGTGTGTGTATGTGAGTGTGTGTGTGTGTGTGTGTGTGTATGTGAGTGTGTGTGTGTGAGTGTGTGTGTGTATGTGAGTGTGTGTGTGTGTATGTGAGTGTGTGTATGTGAGTGTGTATGTATGTGTGTGTGTGTGTGTGTGTATGTGAGTGTGTGTGTGTCGTAACTCTCAAATTGGTTTGTCTGGAAATATGTGCACCGGCCAATAGCCGCACTCAAATGTTTACATTCCGAATTAAAAGGTTTTTGTGACAGAAGTGCGGCTGAGGTCGCGCCGGAGGGGGGGGTCGGGAGTCTCTCTGTGAGCAGGAGGCCTGGCCGCTGGCTCCCCTTCCCCGCTTCAATGAATAAAGTCAGTGTGTAAATTTCAAATTTCATTAGTTAAGCATTTTTTAGTAACTTTGGTTTAGCGTTCAAAATGTACAATGCGATCCGACCATTCCAACTGGGGGGGGGACCAGAGGGCAGTAAGAATGTTCTGGAAACCCAGAAGACAAACGGTACACAAGCCTAAAATGGAGTCCTCTCTCCCCGGTGTCACCCCGCCCCCCCGCCTCCCCTATCTCCAGGGTCCAAACCTCCCCCTGGCCAGTACACATACCAGGAACCCGCGGGCTGCAGCGACGGCTAAGCACTCTGACCAGAATCTTCTCCAGAAAGCCTCAGTCAAATAATGAAATAGCTGTTTGGGGTGAAACCACGCCAGCGACCAGACTAAGAGCAAGGCCATGAAGAAGCCTCCTTCTGAAAGTCACTCCTAAATCTAATGGAACAACAATAAAAATGGAAATAAATGAAACTTAAAATATTTAAGTGCTCTGGGCAGAGCTGTGGTCTGACCCGCCTGCCTTTGCAGGCTTCCTCTGAGATGTGCAGAAATTTTCCCAGAATGCACCCCACAAACCACCATAGAAATTCTCATGAAAAACTGACTCTCCTCAAGTCACCAGGGGCAAAATCTGTCGGCCCAGAGGCAGAGCGCCATCTTAATAGAGTCGATACGGACACAAAAACAGGCGGGACACACGGGGTCCACCACTATCTTGCAGATCAGCTCAACATTTCAGGAAGACCAGTCGTTTTGCAGGAACCCTTTTGCTGAGCTGATCAGTTGATAGTGGGGGATACTTCAGGAAAACACCAAGATTGGCTGTTTACTTTACTGTTGTTACTCAGTTTCATTTATTACCAGCGGCAGCTGACAGTTAATAGCCAGTAACATCTACCTCCTAAAAGTGCTTTTGGTTCCTTCTGCTGTCGCTGTGTTTCCGAGATCGCAAACAAGAAATGAAGCTTCTCTCCCTCGTTTCTCCGCCTGCCTCCCCCTGGCACTGCAGACACGAGATGCCGAAACTCTCTGTGACAAATTTAAAAAGCGGCCATTATTGATTTGGAGGGAACAGCAGCATGTAATTTGCAATGCTCCCAATGACCATACATGGACATTTCTTGGTTGCCGGTAACCCAGAGATGATGTCATAATTTGTGTGTGTGGGCAGATGCTACCCAACATACAAAACAGTAATCTGACCCAACACTGTGGTGCCTTGCCCTAACACTGGAGTAACTGGACCCAACCCTACTCTGCCATAACATTGGAGACATGTGACAGGACACCACAGTACTCTGCTCAGGCACTGGGTAATCTGACACGACGGTACAGCACCGCGGTACTCTGCTCAGGCACTGGGTAATCTGACACGACGGTACAGCACCGCGGTACTCTGCTCAGGCACTGGGTAATCTGACACGACGGTACAGCACCGCGGTACTTATCAGCAGGTTTCCTTGATCATGAACCACCCTGGCAAACATGAAGAACAGCAGCATGTTCTTGTTGTTCTCACTGATACTTGCTGAAAAACAAGCTTGTCTTTAATTCTCTCAGTTTATTTATGTTCTGTCTGAAGACCTTGTTTTAGAAAAAATTAAGTTTGCTTGATATCAGCCCAAGAAGATCTGTTGTTTACGAGTTTTTGTCCCAAGACATCCCTAATTATACAGAGAAAGCGTAAATGGCTCCTGTAGGCGATCTAGCAGGCCGTACAGGAAGGGGAAGTAAAATAAAAAATAAAAATGAAAATACTCACCAACTGAAAGGCAGGAAGAGTGGCGGGAGGGAGAGCGGCGTGGGG